AGGCCTCCGAAGCACCCCTCACGAGGCCCAGAGGGCCACAGGGGCTCCAACATTGAGCGTAAAGCTGGGGGCACCTGGGGCCAGGGGCACCTCCAGCAACCCCCGAACCCTGCTGGCGCGGGCCTGGCAAATCGAGGCGCCCGACTTCGCTTCCGGCCCTCCCCGGCCCGAGACGGCCGCGCGGGCAGCGAGGGCGCCCCGGGCCCCCAGGAGGCCCAGCGCCGGCTGCGCTCTCGGCGTGCTGCGCGGGGGCCTCTTTGGCGCTCTCCTGGCCCGCCGCATGCGGCGGGCCTCTGGAGCAGACGCGCGGGTTGGCCCGAGAGCGTGCGAGACCGCGCGGGAGCGCCTCGAACTGAAAATGTGTGTAAGATGTCCTGGAACTGTTTGAAACGTGTTTGCATCCAAACATTAAACCAGGTTTGACACATGTTCCAGACATCTGGAAACTGTTTGGCAACATGCTTCCTCTCCATTGATCGTCCTCCACCCCCTCTGCCTGATCCCTCCCTCCCGCCCCCCCCCCTTGCCTGCTCTCGTCGCCACAGGGCTCCTCTCGCGCTTGGAACAAGCAGGGTCGCTGGTCGCTGGGCGTGCGTGAAGAGTGCACGTTGGCATGGCTTGGAGCATGCCCGAGAGAGTGTGGCGTGGTCCTTTTGGGTGTGGTCGTGCTGGGCATGCTCCTCTGGGACATGCCTAAACGAATTCGCAGTGGTGGTGTCTTTACATGAATCAGAAGGAATCCAAGGCCAGCTGCCGTTGTCTCAACTCGCACTCCTCTGAGATGGATCGTACGCGCCGTCGGGCAGCACCTTAGCATGGGGGAAGCGGGTCCGGAGGGAAACGGGTCCTGGACCCCCTGGGCCTTCCCCCAAGACGAGTTCTTCATCCTGGGTCGTCTCCTGACAATTCCGGGGCCGTGGAGGGCCCCGAGAGCCCGAAAAGGGCGAACAATCTCAGGAACCGTTTCCTTTAGGACCCGTTTCTCCCATGGCGAATCACCAGGCGGGTCGCGGCGAAGCCGGCGGCGTCCAGCGCGGCCCGCAGGGCCACCGTCCACCCTGGGGGGCCCCAGGAGCGCTCGTTGCGGTTCCCCAGGTAGTCCACGCCGCCCGCGCCAGTGAGTGTCGCGCACTGCATCCAGCTGACCAAATAATCGATCGTCGGAGGAAGAAACACAGGCATGAACATACGGACGGACCTAGGATGGAAGAACATCCTTCAAAATCATGAGACTACCTCCGCCGGCCGAACTGAAGAACATTCGAGGGTACTCTCCACTAGGATGCACAAGGACATCCAACAGGCACGAAGAACAATAGGGCACCCTCCCCGAACCGACCTCGGTCTTATACCTCGGTCCGGCCGTAAGCTTTTGGAGATCCGCGCGGAGCTCCGAAAATGTATGCGTTTGCATGCGCTTGTTTCTTCTTCGAATCGTGTCGTTGCCGTGGTGGTAGCCCTGCTGGTGGGCGTCTCGGACCCCGAGCCAGTAGGGGACAGCAAACGGCAGGGCGTGGACGACCAGGCTGGGGTTCCGCAGCCGCGCCTCTCAGGATGCGACTTTGTGCATACCACTCCTACCGTGGAGCGGGCGTCGTGTACATCGGCTACACGCAGGAGTGGCCTTGGGTAAGAGTGACCTTTGGTGCGCGGCTTTTGGGGGGCGGCGGGGGGACCAAACACAGGCGCGCAAGGCGTTATCGCGTTCGGCGATCGGGGAACCCCATTGTGCCCGCACCAAAGGTCACTCCGGCGAAAGGTCACTCCTACGTCTAGTCGAGTACAGTCGGACCTCGGCCAGAAGAACATCCCTCAAGGACGCGAAGCCCTCCACCGGCCAAGACAAACAGATCGTCCAAGGGTACCCTCCCCAGGATGCACAAGAGCGTCCAACAAGCACGACGAACGCCTGGGCATCCTCCCCGAACTGGCCTCGATCTTTTGCCTCGGTCCGACTGGGGGGAGGAGGAGGGGGAGGAGGAGGAGGAGGAGGAGGAGGAGCAGGAGGAGGAGGAGCAGGAGCAGGAGGAGCAGGAGGAGGAGGAAGAGGAGGAGGGATACAAAAATGCCCCCCCTCATGGGGACACGATCTCTGCACACAGACCCCGGCACAGGGGGCCGACGGCGGGGCGGGGGGCACCGCGCGCGAGGGGCGCCTCCTCGACGAGGGCGCGCGCAGCGCGCGGCCCCCGCCCCCCACCCCGCGGTTCGATCGCGCAGCGGAAGCGCGCGCAGAAGCACGGTGTTTGCAGACAGACCGTTCTGGCACAAGGAAGGGGCGAAGGAACACACACACACAGATTAATGGACACAGAGCCCAGGGCTCGCCATCTTTTTCAATATCTATGTTCTGGACTCGCTCGCCTTCGCCCCTTCGCTTCCAAGGATGATGTTTCCATGATTTCGTGGGAGGCGACGATGAACTGTGCCCGTGCGGTCGTTTCCCACTCCTGAACACAGGGTGCGGGCGCAGGCCCCGGGCCTCGCGCATGAGCCAGAACGTGGCGCCCCTGTCGCACGACAGGTCCGACGCGCTGTGCATGTGTCGGGTGCTGCTAGAACTCCTCCTCCTCCTCCTCCTCCTCGTCCTCCCTCGTCCTCCCTCCTCTCCTCCTCCTCCTCCTCCTCCTCCTCTCCTCCTCTCCTCCTCCCCCCTCCTCCTCCTCCCTCCTCCTCCTCCCTCCTCCTCCTCCTCCTCCCTCTCTCCCCTCCTCCTCCTCCTCCCCCTCCTCCTCCCCTCCCCCCCCCCCCTCCCCTCCTCCTCCTCCTCCTCCCTCCCTCCTCCTCCTCTCCTCCTCCTCCTCCTCCCTCCTCCTCCTCCCCTCCTCCCCCTCCCCCTCCCCCCCCCCTCCCCCCTCCTCCTCCTCCTCCTCCCTCCTCCCCTCCTCCTCCTCCTCCCTCCCTCCTCCTCCTCCTCTCCTCCTCCTCCTCCTCCTCCTCCTCCCGGCTCAAGCCTACCGTGGGCAGGTGGCGCCTGCTTCTATCTTTCCAGCCTGCCGTAGGCAGGTGGCGCCTGCTTTCTCGCCATCAGTATCGTAGCCCCAGGTCAGCAGCCAAACCTGGGGCCTCCCTCATTCCATCAGACATGGGTGGCCAGCGACAGCCAAGCCGTGGCAGGGGAGACGGACGCAAGTACCTCTGCTGCCAGTCTGGTGGATGCAAAATATGGACATGGGCGGACAAGCCGTTCAAGTGTTGTGGTCAGTGTGGCTCAGCCTTCATAGGACGAAAGACAGGACAGTCTGCTTCGTCCCCCCAGTCACAGACTACATCAGGCGGCACCCCCAACAGGTGGCGCAGGCGCTCGTCCAGCCCAGCGCCGAAGAGCCACCAAAAAGGAGCTGCAGTTGTACGTGAACCCGATGAGCCAGATCGTGATCCAGTTGCTGTGTGCGCGGCAGCTGTCCAGTTCTGGAAGAAAATGGAGGGCATCAAAGGGAGTCACTACCTGCAGGCCGTGGAGGAGTTAAAAGCAGCGAAAGCATCGACACTAGCAGCAAAATCATGGGACCAGCAGCGAAAGTCGCTGCACGACCAGCTCGAAGTCGCAAAGAAGAAGCTGATCAGTGCCCAACAGAATTGTGACAAAACGTGTGAGGCCATGGTCACGTTGGCCAATGACTACACAAACCAGTGCAAGCTCGTCGCCGACCTGTCAGCGGAGACGCAGCAGTTGGAGACCCAGCACAAGATGGCAGTGGAGCAGGCGTTGAAGGAGCACGTCAGCACCTCGGCCCCCTCGCTGGAGACGTACATCATCAGCCAGTTCCCGCCTGGGCTCGCGCCGTCCGCTGAGGTGAAGCAGGCCGTCATTCAGTTGTCGGCGAAGCTACGCGACGAGTGGCAGGCAGCCCAGGCAACCCAGGCCAGCTCCCAGCAGGCCCAGACGGCGTTCCAGGTGGCGGCGGAGTCCCAGACGGGCGCCGAGGTGGGGGCCGCAGCCCCAATCGCAGCCGATGCCGACCCGAGGGCGCCGTCGCTGGCCACCGCCACCCCATCGGGAGACGTCAGCCCTGAGCTGGCTGCCAGCCTGGACGTCGAGGCCGAGGCCATGCAGCTGGACCATGACGAGGCAGACAAGCGGAGCCAGGGCATGAAGCGCGTAGGCGAGGCGATCGACCAGGTTCTGAACATCAGCGGCCAGAACCGGGCGCTCACGCCCCAGCAGCATATGGCCAACGCGGCGCTCCAGTCCAGCGCGAAGGCGCTCTGCCTGGCCAACAAGGGCAAGGGCGGCGAGGGGGCGGACGGGGCGCCGCGTGGGTAACACGGTCAGGTTCGCCACTATCAATGGAAGCTGCTGGAGATCTATTCGAAAGTTTCTGAAGCCAAAAGCAGCCGAGACGGTGGACATCATCTGCTGTCAAGAACTTCGGGTATTGAAGGATGCGCTCCCTTTCATCGTACAATGGTGTGAGCGAGAGGGGTGGAACGCGATACTCTCTCCAGCCGTGCTCAGTGAGAAAGGGTACCCTGTCCAAGGGACAGGGATTTTGATTCGTGATGGGCATGACTATGGAGTATCACGTGTGCCAGCGCCTGCAGGGGTAGTAGAGTCACGGTGCGCAACAGTTTCACTTGAGCTTCCTGGTCATCGTCCATTCGTACTAATTTCACTCTACTTGGCCAACGGGGTGGGCCTCAACCAGTATAACCTAGAGCTCTTAGCTGGGGTTGCAATGATTCAGGACGCTGCACGACAGCCACCCATCATTGACATTCAATGTTCCGACGAGTAAGCTAATCGAGTCGAAGTACCCGCTGAGAGCAGGCCTTAAGATTTTGGCCCCGACAAAACCAACATGTAAGATGAAGAAGTCTGAATCCATCATCGACTTCGTTCTCGCCTCGTCGCGTTTCGACCAGGACCTCTCGGGGGCCACGGTTCTAGACGAGTACCCCATGAGCCCGCATAGGCCCGTGCTGTTCCAGCTGCGCTGCGGGAAGCCCTTTATGGTTCCAGTCTTGGAGAAGCCCCAACCATTCGCTACTTCCAGACCTTATGGGCCTACAAACCATGTGCCGCCCTGGGACTGCACGGAGGCAGCCTTGGAATTCCTGGACCAGGTTATTGATCGAGAGTCTGGGATTGAGGCCCGCTTGCTGGCCCTAGATTCAGCATACCAGTACTTCGCCTCGGACATGGCGAAGACGATCAGCATTCGCACGGACGCTCCGATCAAGTCGCCCACTGCCCCGCAGGTGAGCCTCCCAAAGATCCGCTGGGCACCAGGAGCCGCTCGAGAGGTGGAACCCAGGGCCAGCTGGAAGAGTCTATCAATTCCGACTCGGTGGTTGAAAAATAAAGTGATGGATGTCATCCGACGGGTTTATTCCAAGGGGGGGTTTTACCTCTCGGAGATTTTGACCAGCGTCCAGTCGCGCCCCCAGAGCTCGAAAGCACCGAGGAGTTTGCCCGTTTGCTCGCCAGTGTTAGGACTGCTCCAGGCGCTGCTGCACAGGACCAGGACAATGGCAAGATGGATCCCAAGCTCGTGTTGAAGGTAGTTGAAGAGCTCGATGATGCAGTTGATCACGCGCTCCAAGCTGAGGGGGCCAAGGACCGACAAAGTGAAACAACGTCTTGGAATAACTGGGTCCAGGAGGCCATGTATCGGGGAGTTGGTTTGGGCCCATCGCTGGACCTCTAAGCTCACCTCCCGGCAACCTCAGAAAGTTTGGCGCCCCGAGCTGCAGACATTTTCAAGTCGGCCTTCAGAGTTGCTCCAGTCCGAGGCAACCCGCCTCGCAGGATTGTGGCAGGCCACGCCGCAGGAGCAGGACTTTAACTTGCCGTCGGCCGAGAGTGAACGCTTGGGGCCCATCGCGCCTGGCCAGATCAGATCAGCTGCCAAAAGATTCCCAAAATCTACCAGCCAGACTTGGGATGGGTTCCACCCTCGTCACTTTGCTTATCTCAGCAATGTGGAACTGGAGCATGTGTGTAAGCTTTTGGCAGCGATCGAGGAGATTGGAATATTTCCGACAGCCATCCGCGGCGTCATTATCACGCTGATTGAGAAGCACAAGCCTGGCCAGTCTGAGGGCCCCTCGTACCGAGGTATCGGTTTGCTCCCTGCCCTCTGGAGGGCGCGGTCCAAAATTCGCCGAGAGGAAGCTCGTCGGTGGGAAAGGGCCAACAAGAGGCCTTATCTTGCCCATCAGACTGGTCGAGGTGTGCTTGAAACTGTTTATGCTCAGGCCTTGAAGGCTGAACTTGCTGGCTATCAAGCTGTCCACGCTGGTGGGGTTTTATGGGGTTTATCTAACTATTACGAGAATGCCAATCGGAAGAAATGGAAATCTCGGGCGAGCTCTTCTGGATTTTCGGAGACGCTCACGTGTATTATGATGAACCAGCATGGGGGTCCCAGGGCTGTCGCAACCAGAACATTGGCTACCTACGCGGGGTGTGCTACCAAAGGCTTCCCTGCTGGCTGCTCGCTTGCGACCTACAACGCCCAAATGTATACGGTTCCCCCCATGGACCCCTGGGTTCCGAAGTTCCCCACCGTGGACCCCTCAATCTTCATAGATGATTTCACGTTGACAAGCAACAACACAAGCGTTCGCCTGTTGGTGTCGGACCTGGCGCAGGCCTCCGACAGCATGCTAGATTCAATCGAGGAGGACCTCGACTGCTCGGTCGCCTTGCACAAGGCTGCGGTGCTGGGCTCGTCCGCTGCAGTACAGCATCGCCTGGCCAAAGCTCTAGGTAAGTACAGTGGGCCAGAGGGAGTCAACCAAGCACAGTCTGCGCCAAACCTCGGAGTCGATTTCACCATGGGCAATAGGGACTCGAAGAAGGCCCGTAAAACTCTGGCGAAACGAACCTCCAAGGTGAAACGTCGACTCCACCGCATGGCCCAGATTAGGCGAGCAGGTGCGAATATGCGGAAGAATTATCAGACAGCTTCGAAAGCAGCCGCCTACTATGGCGCCGAGGTCGTCGGCCTCACCAACCCTGAGCTGCACGAAGCCCAGCCCCTCTACCACAAGATTGTAGGGCCCCGCTGTGCTACAAGATCCAGGTCCCTGGCATTATCGATATTGGGGGGCCCGGCGTGGGGTGCGGCCCTGGGGCCGGCCTGTCATTGGGCCAACCTGATCTGGAGAGTTGCTCATTATCCTGGTACGATCGGCTTTTCTCTGGTGGGACTCCGTGAACAAGCCCTCCAGGTCCTCCACAGGCCCCCGACGAAGTGGTACCATATCCGAGGGCCCTTAGGGGCCACGCTGCTCAGCCTGAGCCGTCTGGGGTGGTCCATGCCCGACCCGCTCGTCTTTCGAGACTCGCAAGGCCAGGACTACCCACTCATCACTACCTCCCCTGCCCTCATCAAGAAGCTGTTTCAATCCCAGTGGCAGTTGCAGTTAGACGTGAAGGCGGGGCAGAAGCTCGGCTTCGACGAGCCCCTCGACCCGTCGGTCATGCAGCACGCGCTGCAGGATAGTACAGTGCTGGCCTACAAAAGGAAGACGCTGCTTTCATATGGCTGCCAGTGCATTTGGACCAAAGACAAGATGGCCGAGGCAGGCTATCATAATGAAGTCGAATGCGAGCTGTGTAAGGGCATCGTGGACGCCATCCCCCACAGGCTCCTCGAGCGCCCGCAGACCCGCGACCTGAGAGAGGAAATTTTAAGTGAAGCAGATACCGAGGAGTTCAAGGACCCGAGGAGAGGATTTCCATCGGTGTTAGGATTTCAGCTTCGACCTGAACCCATAGCTCTGAGGCCCCCTGGTTTAGGACTAGCTCAGGCTGTATATTGGTCTCGAGATGGGCTGCCCAAGGAGGTGGCCATGCAAGGTGAAGTTTTCCATGATGGCAGTGTTTTGAAACCTGGGCCCGCGGTGTACGATGCCCCCGCCTGGTCCGTGGTCAAAATCGACGAGGACGGCGACCTGGTTGCCAGTCTCTCAGGCCCTGTGGGGGCCAGCCTTCCCCCCACGTCGCCCGCTGCCGAACACCTGGGGTTTCTAGTTGCTACGTCCTGCCCCAGAGTCATCAAAGCGTGGACGGATTTCAAGGGAATCCTCTCGGTGCACCAGAGCGCCGAAGTCTCACGTAAGGAAATGCAATCAGGAGTTTCAGTTCTGGCCAGGACCCAGGGCTGCTTTGCGTCCTTCGAGATCGGGAAAGTAAAGGCCCACCAGGATCTGTCGTCCCTGGCGGTCGGCTCGAGGGACTGGTTTGTTGCCAAAGGAAATGACTGGGCGGAAAAGATGGCCAAACAAGCGGCCGCCAGAATCCCCGCCCCGTCCCAGAGAGAAATCGAGCATCATAAAGAATGCCGTAGCCGAGTTCAGAGGCTTGTGAAGTATGCTGCTGAGGCGCTTTCCTTGTGGGCCCCACTCGCTCCGAAGTCGGGCAAGAAGGCCTACGAGAAGCCCGCCCAGAGTCTCAACCCCCCAGTTGGAGCAGCGGGGGCAGTCAGCCAGTGGACTGCACCACCCCCGCCCCCTGGGGGTCATCCTCGGCGTGCTCGTGCGCGCCGTAACCCCCAGGGCGTGGCCAGACATCAGTGGGCATGGATTAATAGTCATTGGCTGTGCCTAGCGTGTAATGCCCGCGCCCGCACGGACAGCACTCGCAAGGCCCGCATGCGTGAAGCATGCCCAAGTAATTCAGTCATGTTGTCACAGTTAATTCGGGACCCCCAGAAACACCATTTAATGATATGTGATTACCTTGATGTCGAGTCCTTCCTAGTCGTTTGTAAGAGGTGCGGCCGCTACAGCGAAAGCAACCTCAAAGGACTCAAAGGTGAATGCAAGGAGCGCTTCCAGAGCAAGTTCTCCCAAGGTGCGTGGTCCCTCCTGGCAAGCGGCCGTCATCCCAAGAGTAGTATGAAGGCCCGGCCCCGACTTTCCCTGCCCATCCCTGCGGCCCAGCTCCTCAAGGAAGGAGGGGCGACGTAGGGACGAAAGCGAGCGTAAGGGGAGAGCGGATGTAACCCTCAGGTTTCGGTTAAGGTCGGGTCGGCCTAACCCTAGCCTTCCTCATTAGCATGCGATGGTCCTCCTCCTCCTCCTCCTCCTCCTCCTCCTCCTCCTCCTCCTCCTCCTCCCCCTCCTCCTCCTCCTCCTCCTCCTCCTCCCTCCTCCTCCTCCTCCTCTCCTCTCTCCTCCTCCTCCTCCTCCTCCTCTCCTCCTCCTCCCTCCTCCTCCTCCTCCTCCTCCTCCTCCTCCTCCTCCTCCTCCTCCTCCTCAAGGTGCCCCCAGGATTTCTAATGAGGCACCCACGGCCTCCAGAGCACCCCTCTCGAGGCCCCGGGGGGCCCCAGGAGCTCCAAGATTTACCAGCCTCGAACGCATCCCTATCCCCAAGATTGACACGCCAAAAGGCGATGACAATCTTAGGGATTCGCCCTCAAAAAATAAGGGAATCCCTGAGATTGGCATCGTGATGAGGAGGTGCCCAGCATAAAACCGGGATATGTTCCAGGCTGGTAAAAGATGGAGCAACAAGCTGGGGGCACCTTGGGCCAGGGGCACTTCTGGCAGCACCCGACATGTGGCTGGGCTCCGTGCCGGGGCCCGACCGCGAATCGCCGCCGACCTCCACCTTCAGCGCATGCAGCGACGCGCCCAAACCCGGCAGGAAGAGGTAATCGAGCACCTCCAGACCGATGCTGCCAGACTCCCCAGATAACTATGATGATGGTGATGATGATGATGATGATGATGATGATGATGATGATGATGATGATGAGGATGATGATGATGATGATGATGCTGGTGATGCTGATGATGATGCTGCTGATGATGATGATGATGATGATGATGATGATGATGATTATGATGAGTATTACCGTTATTATTAAGAAGAGGACGATTAAGAAAATGACGACGACACCAACGACGCCGACGACGACGACGATGATGATGATGATGATGCCTCTCCCCGCGTGCGTTCGGCTCAGAGTGTCGAAGCGAACCTGGCCGTGGCGACGAGGTCTTCCCAGGAGGCCAGAAAAGGCGAAAACCAGGCAAGGGGGGACTGTATCGGTGCCTGGACCACGGGGCCTTCCACCAGGACCAGCTCTTCGTCCTAAACCGTTTCCCAGTCTTGGGGCCGGATGAGAATCCCAAGCCCTGAAAGGACGGAAAACCTCCGGACGACCCGTTCCCCCTCAGGACTGACGGGCGCCCAGGGACCCACGCAGATACACAGACACAGATCCAAGGATTCCCCATGCTCTTCCATACCGTCTGGACGTTCGCCATCCCCTCGACTTTCAACATTTTGGCATGTGTTCCTGGGAATCAGCGATTCTTGGTGTCTGTGTTTTGCTCCTCCTGAAGGGCCCGCGTCCTCCGTGGCGAGGCACCTCGCTCCGCTGGGGCTCGGGGTAGTCGTGCAGCAGCCGGGAGGAGCCCCCCACCGACACGCCACCGTGCCTGGAGGAGCAGAAAGCGGTGACCAGGGCGTGTTCTTCACCCTCGTGCTCCTCCTCCTCCTCGCGCTCCTCCTCCTCGTGCTCCTCCTCCTCGTGCTCCTCGTGCTCCTCCTCCTCGCGCTCCTCCTCCTCGTGCTCCTCCTCCTCGCGCTCCTGGTTCTCGTGCTCCTCCTCCTCGTGCTCCTCGTGCTCCTCGTGCTCCTCGTGCTCCTCCTCCTCGCGCTCCTCCTCCTCGTGTTCCTCCTCCTCCTCCTCGCGCTCCTCCTCCTCCTCCTCCTGCTGCTCCTCCTCGTGTTCCTCCTCCTCGTGCTCCTCCTCCTCGTACTCCTCCTCCTCCTCGTGCTCCTCCTCCTCCTCCTCCTTCTCCTCCTCCTCTTTCTCCCGTCTGCACTGCAGCGAGCCCAGGCAGGGAATGAGAGGGGGCAGGAATTCTAGGAAGGCCTCGGCCCTTCTGAGAAGCTTTGTAAGCCTTCTCAGAAGACACAGACCACGTCCAAGAACTCGAGGGCTTCCGAGACGCCCCGCCGCCTCCTGAGAAAGCCTGCTCCTTCTCGCTTCCCCCCCCGGGCGCGTCGCCAAAAGACTGAACGCGGAAACGTCGCCTCCGATCTTGGACCTTGGTCATCGTCCATCTTGGTCACCGCCAAATCGTGAACGAGCCTCGCGAATCGGCGACGTCCGGCGTGAGACCACGATCGTGATCGGCGCCGACAGCATCCCGCGACATCGTTGAGGCGCAACGATAGAAGGAGACTGGCATAGGGTTAGGTCGGGCGTGTCCCCCTACAGGGGGATCTTCGACGAACAATAGAAAACATACTTCAAAATGGTCAAACATTATCCCAGTGCGACCCTACCTAGGAGTTGGAGCCCCTAGGAAAGCAGCATTAGTAACTGTGAATTTGAGCTAAAGCTAAGCTAAAGCTAAGCTAAAGCTAAGCTAACGCCAAAGCCAAGCTAAAGCTGAGCTAAAGCTAAGCGACAGCTAAGCTGAAGCTAAGCTAAAGCTAAGCTGGAGCTAAATTAAAGCTAAGATAAAGCTAAGCTAAAGCTAAGCTGAAGCTAAGCTGACGCTAAGCTAAAGCTAAGCTTAAGCTAAGCTACAGCTAAGTTGAAGCTAAGTTAAAGCTAATGAAAACTACGCTACAGTTAAGCTAAGGTTAAGCCCAAGCTAAGCTACAGCTAAGCTAAAATACGCCAAGCTAAGCTAAGACGAGCTAGGCTAAGCCAAGCTAAGGGGGCGCTATGCTAAGCTATGCTAAGCTATGCTATGCAATACTGTGCTATGTTATGGTATGCTGTGCTATGATATGCCATGCTATGCTATGCTACGCTGAGCTAAGCTACATTAGGTTAAGCTAAGGTAAGCCAAGCTAAGCTAAGCTAAGGTAAGCCAAGCTAAGCTAAGCTAAGCTACGCCAAGCTAAGCTAAGCCAAGCTAAGCTAAGATGGGATAAGCTAAGCCAAGCTAAGCTAAGCCAAGCTAAGGTAAGCCAAGCTAAGCTAAGACGAGATAAGCTAAGCCAAGCTAAGGGGGCGCGACTGGGGGAACCGCGGGTCGGGGACTGGGGGAACCGCCCGGGGCGCTTTCCACTGCCCGGCCCCTTTAAGCTAGAGAGTAAGAACCCTTCTAGGCAGAGCCTAGGTAGGGAATTACCCCAGTGCGACCCTACCAAAAAGTTGGAGCCCCTAGGCAAGCAGCATTAGTTGCTATGCTATGCTATGCTATGCTATGCTATGCTATGCTATGTGCTATGCTGCGCTATGCTATGCTATGCTATGCTATGCTATGCTGCGCTGCGCTATGCTATGCTATGCTATGCTATGGTAGGCTAAGCTATGCTATGCCATGCTGTGCTATGCTAAACTATGCTATGCTATGGTGCGCTATGTTATGCTTTGCTGGGCTTTGCTATGATATGCTGTGCTGCGCTACGCTATGCTACGCTATGCTATGCTCTGCTGTGCTCTGGTCTGCTAAAGCTCAGCGAAGCTAAGATGAAGGTAGCTAAACTATGATAATATTGAGCTAAGATGAAGGTAAGCTAAGCGAAGATGGAATAAGCTAAGCTAAGATGAAATAAGCAACGCTAAGCTAAGGGAACGTCACTGGGGGAACCGCGGGGCGGATGCCGGGGGAACCGCCCGGGGCGGTTCCCACTGCCCGGCCCTTTAAGCATACCGAGTAAGAACCCTTCTAGGCAGAGCCTAGGTAGGGAAGTATTCCAAAAATAGTCCCCACACTATTTTTGGATTATGTTTGGACTATTTTGGGGGTATTTCTTATTTTTCGTCGCAAATCCCCCTGTAGGGGGACAGGTCCGACTTAAGCACAGGGGCGATAATATCGACCTGGAACCTGCGATGCATCGCCGATAGATCGGCGACAACCCCTCGATGGCACATTCGCACGCTCCTGGGCGGTTGGGTTCCATACATCACCCCCCAAAACCTACAGGGCAAGTTGTAATACATCGGATTGTTTAAAAAATATGGGATTTGAATACATGACCAATGTATGAATAAATTAATGTATGATTTCATCGTTGTTTTTAATACTGAACCCCTGCATTTGTAATACATGACCCGCACGCGGAGCATGTATAAAAAAACGGCACTGTATCAAACCCTGACGTTGCCCCGTAGTTTTCGGGACGACCCGGGCACCTCTGGAACGCCCTCGGCGAGGGGCAACTGCTGGAACGCATTCCGAGGCTGGAACACCACCTGGCAACGACGAAAACATCAGAAAATTGGAGGCCCGGAAATGGGTACCAACACCAACACAGGGGAGTGCCTCCACAGGAGGAAGATGATCCTAGATTTCGGTGTTGGTGGTAATATTTCGGTCACCTTGAAGCCAGAATATTACCACCATCACCGGGATTGGGATCGGGATCTTCTTCCCTCGGTGGAGGCACACCTCCGATGTTGGTGTTGGTGTCAACCTCTAGGCCTGCGAGAACACCTCGAACCTCGACGTGCCCCTGACACTTGGCCCTGTCAGCGTGCTTCCTCCCTCGAGGTGCCCGTCGTACGGCAAGCCGTGCGCGTCGCCATCCAGCACGAAGGCGCCCTGGCAGGGCTGCGGCCCGCAGCGCGCTGGGCCGCAGACGTGCGTCCCGCACCTCCCCGAGGTGGAGTTGTCCTCGGGTGGCGGCGGCGGCGACGGCGCCGACGGCGGCGACGATGACGCCCACTGGACGGCAGCGGCAGCAGCGGCGGCGTCGACAGCGACGGCTGCGGCCGTCGTCACCGCCGCTGTCGCACACTGCCGCTGCCGTGGCAGGGAGACGTCGCTGCCCGCTGCCGCTTTTCCGCCTCCGCTTGCCCCCTGGTCGCCACTGCTGGGCGGCGACATACGAGCCCTATCCCCGCCGACCATCGAGACTGTCCTGGGCCGACGGGAGGCGGGGGTGGGGCTCGGCTTCCGCCACGTGTTCGACGGATGCCGACCGTACCCTAAGGCCGGGCGCGTCCTCCTACAAGGGAGTCTTGGAGGAAGAACGAGGAGACAGCCCAGAAGTATCCGAGAAGAGTCGAGCATAGTATACAAAATCGTCCCCGGACATGGCCGACTTCATCTGTGGAAAACACACACACACACACACACACACACACACACACACACACACACACACACACACACACACACACACACACACACACACACACACACACACACACACACACACACACACACACACACACACACACACACACACACACACACACACACACACACACACACACACACACACACACACACACACACACACACACACACACACACACACACACACACACACACACACACACACAGTGGGAAACACACACACAAAAAAAACGCACACGGTGGGAAAACAACGCACGACAACCACACACAAAACAAACACTAAAAACACACACAGTGTGTGTAAGTTTTCCCACAGTGTGTTTTTTATGTTTTTCACCCCGCCGCCCGTCGAATTGCCTGACTCGTGGACCGGCGAGAATAGGGCTCGGTTCTCGACGAGACGGGTCCCTGATGGGCCTGTTTTCAACCACCACCACCACCACAAGCTGGATGGGGAGGGGGGTCCTCCTCCTCCTCCTCCTCCTCCTCCTCCTCCTCCTCCTCCTCCTCCTCTTCGTCCTCTTCCCTCCTTCTCCTCCTTCTCCTCCTCCTCCTCCTGCCTCCTCTTCGTTCTTCCTCCTCTCCTCACCCTCCTCCTCCTGTCATCCCCTCCTCCTCCTCCTCCTCCTCCTCCCTCCTCCTCCTCCTCCTCCTCCTATCCCATCCTCCTTCTCCTCCTCCTCCTCCTCCTCCTCCTCCTCCTCCTCCTCCTCCTCCTCCTCTCCCTGCTCCTCCTCTCCCTCCTCGTCCTCGTCCTCCTCCTCGTCCTCCCCCCATCCAACTTGAGGTGGTGGTGGTGAAAAACAAGCCAGTCAGTCCTGGCCGGGGCCTCCGCCGTCGCGGCTTCTGCGTAGCGCGGGCCCCCCCGGGTCGGCAACCACGCCACGGCAGCGGTGTTTTTTGTGGCCCTCAGCCGCCGGAGACCTTCGTGGAACCCTGGGACCGCACAGAGACTACTCAGGAGGAAACCAAAACAAAGGCAGAATCGAGACAATATCGGGCCGAGATGAATTGGGCAATCTCCGAGTCGGCGGGCTTGGAGGGTGTCATCGGGCGCCGATGCCGTTTCGGAGCGTTCCGGGATGCTCTGGAACGGATCTCAATCTCGATTGTGGGCCCCTCCGAGAAAAGCCCGTCCCTGGGAACGGAGTGCCGACCCCCGGGTCAACAAGAAAGACGCAAGAGGTATTTGGGAGCCCCCAATCCAGGTGGTGAGATATCGCATGGTGGCCCGGAATCCTCAAAATGTCACCGCCAGGTGTTGGAATACGGGGCCACCGCTGGGTCTCACACCGTTTCAGAACCACATGAGTCCCCAAACTGCGTGGTGATACCTAACCGCCCGAGACTCACCGCCTGGTGTTGTCATCGCCACGTTTGGGGACTGCCAAGGAATGGGTAACGTGGGACCCCCGCCCAGAACGCTCGACCACTCTCAACAGGATCGATCAGTTGGCGCGGATCGTTCTCAGATGATCACTGGCGCTCGACGACGTGATGCTTTCAATTCGCGGCCCCAGAAACCCCGATCGCTAGTTTTTCGCCCCGATCCATTTCTGATGGTCCCAGGGCCCCCAAAAAAAACCGAAGGGCCCAACCCTAGGAAAACCCACCCGTGGACAAAAGTCATATCGTCGGAGATCAGGGTTGCGGGACACCAGACCCTCATCCTCATTGTTTTTTGTCGCCTGGATGTCCGTGCCTACCTTCGGCACCGTCGCCGAATCTACTCAGCCCAACCTCGCCCCATTCCTCGGTGGACTGCACGATGCCGATACCACTGCTCCCTCAGACCTGTGACGTCCTGTTTTTGTTCCATACGCGGTCACTGCAATCCCCGACCCTTTTCACTGGGAACAATTTGAAGGGGCCCCAGGACACACAACAAATACACGCAAATATAAAGATTCCCCACATTTCCAAATATTTTCTTGTTGTTTTGTCTTCCCCCCACTGCCCATAGGTTCTCATATCTTCGACGGAATCGACGATTAATTGTCTCTGTGTGTGTCCCGTGCCCCCCTGGCAATTTTACATCGAATCTCTTTTGCTGCCAGTCCCGAGGCCCGGGGAGGCCCCGGGAGGCCGAAAAAACAACGACACAACTCTCCCATTCGCAATTTTTTCCGGGGATGCACAGGCCCCCCTTTAACAGAACGTGGTTTAGCGAAAACGACCTGAGGCCCAAACCTGGCGGGCGCGAGCCTGGAAAATAACGGCCGCGGCGCCCTCTCGACTACCGAAAACGGACAATTCACGAATCGACGTGTCACTGTTGGGGGTTCTGTCCACCCCCGATTTTTTCTCATGGCCCGAGGGCGTGGGGAGCCGCTGCCCCCCTGCTATACGGTCGTGTCCTCACCACCAGTGTCCCCACTGTTCCACTGTCCTCACCAATGCCCCCACCACGGTCGCACTGTCCCCACTGTCCCCACCACTGTTCCCACCACGGTTCCACTCTCCCCACTTTCCGCGCCGCGCTCGGCTAAGCCGATGCGCGCGTGGAGCACATCGCACCGCCACCTGGCAGACATCGGCGGCCGTCAGCTTTCGAAATGCCTGCAAGCACTCTCTCCGGGGGGCAGTGAGAGCCAGCAGCCTGCATCCCTCCTTCCTCCCCTTCGGCAACTCTCCTTTTCCTCCTCGTCCTCCTCGTCCTCTTCCACCTCCTCGTGTTCCTCCTCATGCTCCCCCCTCCTCACCCGCCCGCTCGTCATCCTCCTCCTCGCGCTCCTCCTCCTCCTCCTTGTCCTCCTCCACCTTCTACTCCTCCTCTTCCTCCTGCTCCTCCGCCTCCTCCTCCTCCGTCCTGCTCCTCATCGTCACGGTACGACCGATCCTACTACTCCTCAGGCGTCTCCTGCTCATGCCGCTGCTACCGTTCATCCTGCTCCTCCTGCTCCTGCTGCTCTTACCCACCGTCCAGAAGAACTGGTGAGAACATGACGCAGGAAAGCGATGACAGTAGCTTGGGTTCCCGCCCGGAGAAGCAAAACCAGTCGACTCTTGAATGTGCAGGCTCCCAAAGCAAATTCGTTCCTGGAAATTCAGGAGTACCTGTTTTCTGCAAACACTGTGCAAGTATAATCCTTCTCTCCATAATCGAATTCACCATCAGCATTACCCTCATAATCACAATCGGTCACAACATTGGCAAATGCACTCCGATGCATGGTCATGGTCATCGACGTCAGCAACCGCAGAATCATCATCAGCCTCCTCTTCCCCTTCCTCATCCTCTTTCTTGTCCTCCTCCTCCTCCTCCTCCTCCTCCTCCTCCTCATCATCATCATCATCATCATCATCATCAGCAGCAGCGTCATCATTAGCATCATCATCCCCATCCTCACAAGCATCATCATCATCAGCATCAACATCATCATCATCATCATCAGCATCATCATCAATCCTTCACCACCTGCATCATCATAATCAGCATCAACCTCAGCATCATCAGCATCAGCAGCATTATCATCATTATCATTATCAGTATCAGCATCAGCATCATCATCAGCATCATCATCAGAATCCTCACCATCGTCATCGTCATCAGCATCATCATCATCATCATCATCATCATCATCATCATCATCATCATCATCATGATCGTCATCATCATCAGCATCATATTCAGCATCACCACCATCATCATCAGCAGCAGGACAAACATCCTCGCCATCATCATCAACAACAGCATCAGCGTCCGAAATCAGAATCATCGTCAGCATCATTAACATCACCATCATCAACAACATCAACATCATCGGCATCATCATCATCACCATCATCATCATGTTCCATCATCATCGTCACCCTCGTCATCATCGTTGCCGTCCTCATCATGAACATCAATACCGCCATCATGCAATACTCAACCCCCTATTACCGTCGCCATCACCGCCTCTTCAGTATCATCCTTCTCGACATGCCTTTGGGCGCACACTCACGTCTCTCCGCCTTGCCCCTCCTCCTCCGCCTCATCCTGTTCCTGCTCTTCATCATCATCATCAGCATCATCATCATCATCACCACCATCATCATCATCATCATCATCATCATCATCATCATCATCATCATCATCATCATCGTCATCGTCATCGTCATCATCATCATCATCATCATCATCATCATCATCATCATCATCATCATCATCATCATCATCCGCATCAGCATCCGCATCATCATCATCAGCGTCAGCGTCATCATCATCATCATCATCATCATCAGCAGCAGCAGCAGCAGCAGCATCATCCCCCCTATGAGAAGTTGTCAGCTCCCATCGTGCCTGCGACCTCGGCTGCCCCGAAGCCCCCACCCACAGGCTTTGCCCCCTGCACGAAGGATGTCCCGAAACACGCGCAAGGCCGAGGCTTGACGAGATTCGTGGAGTTCGCCTGCACCCCCCCCCCCGTCTCCCCTTCCTCTCTCCCTGCCTCCCTCTTCAACAACAACGTCCTTCCTTCACCTTCAGTCACCTCCTCCACTGCCTCCTTCATCCCTCTTCGCCTCCTCCCTCCTTTCACCTCATCCCC